GGCATTCACATAGGTGCTGGGGATCTGAACTCAGCCCTTAGGATTGCCCGGCAAGCACTTACTGAGTCACCTCCCCAGCCTCCACTTTCCTTGTTCTTACCAAGTGTTTCTAAACAATCATTTAGAATTCTTCACTTGTCTTTTTTCACAAGCTTATGATTTTGATCATCAGGCCTTCAATAAAGTATTAAGAGAATTGGACTGAAATAGAAAATACACACAAATGGGTGTCCAGAACTAGGTGGCTCTTAGCTCTGAGGTAGGTAAAGGAGGGCTAGAGGTCCTCTCTATCACAGAGGAGCTGGACTTGAGCTTCCTCCTCTTCTTTGAGTCCAGCTGGACCCCTGAGTGGGCTAGAGACGTCCCTTCATGTGGTATTATAGGGATCTGCTGAAGCAAGTTCTCATGTAGCTGTGCTTTGACTCTCTAACTAAAGAGCGATAGAATTGCCATTGAAAAAGATTACGTGTAGAAGGAGATGGAGGGAGAATTGGCCCAGGCTCATGGGTATGCTTGTTGGCAGTATTTACTGTTGTGTTGGAATTAAGTACTATTTAATATGGGATGGTCTCATTAAGTATATGAATTTCTGAGTCATTGAATTTGATGGCTTTATACATAGGTGAGGTTGTGTTATTTCTTCCTGGTGAGAGAACTTTGCCAGGAGCTAAGTAATTATAAAAACAGCTAACATTTATATGATGCCAACTGACTTCCTACAAGTATTCTGCATCTGCTTATTTTCTCATCACTGTAGCCCTGCAGTATAGGGACTATTGTTCGTTCTGTTTTTCAGATGAAATTGAGGAGCAATTTTATCCCATTTGTCTCAGACCCTGTAGCTTCTGCACTTGAAGCCAGACATAGTCTACTCCAAAGGTTTTCCCCTTAGTCTTTGCTGTCGACCTCCAGCTAGAAGTGGAGAAAGAAGTGTCAGTATAAGGAGTGCAAAGTTTGGTGTGCTATACAGATTATCTTTGAGAGATAATGGGGAAGTAATGCAGTTTACTGGCTGCTGATGGTGAAGGAGAATGAGTAATTAAGGGTTACTTCCAGAATTTAGAACTGACCTCAAGCTCTGCAGGGCTGTCTGGCATTCTTTTCCCTGTGGTTTTTTGGAAGTATTTAGCTGAGTTGTCTGGTGGTAATAAGACAGCTTCCTGGTCAGACACAGAGGATCAGGGGAGGCCTCCCACCTGGGTCTGTCCTCTCCTGCCTCCTCCCTTTCCCCCACCAGTCTTTGAAGCTGTGACCTGTCCTGCTGCTCGCCACTCTTGCTGACTGTTGTTCACACTGCTCTGCCTTCTTACTTTGAGCACTTCCTGTTCTTTTTCCTGTGTTTTGTTTTTTTCACATCTCCAGGTGACCATTTATTTCTTCTAAATTCCTGACCTGCCTTCTAGCTTTGATTTGAAGTCAGAAACTCAGGCAGGAATTCTACCCCGGCCCTAACTTCCTAACTTGCTTGTTATTTGGACAGGTCAAAGGAGATCATTATTTAAGGGTGCTCCCCACCCAATACAATGCTCCATCTACTTCACAGTGTACTTCACAAATACCTTATAGAGCAGAAAGCAGACCATAAATATATGCATTATTAATATCCCAAACTTGCCTATGTGGGGTTATCTACTTCCTGCTTTGGTGCCCTGGCTGTTGTTGGTTATGCTCACCTGTTCATCTTGATGACCTTGGCTCTTATTCTCTTTGAATTTCTAAGTACTTGGTAGAGTGCTACTTGGCATTGATAGGGCACAATAAGTAAGTGAATTAATCAAAAAAGCCTGTCTAAAGAAAGTGTGTGGTTATAGGGGTCTATCCTTCCAGAGTAAACCCATCATTTATACCTCTTCTTTAGGTTGGTTTTGCTAAAAATACTTTGTTTAAACCCATTTTTTGTTTCAGGATGCAAAATTCCAGTGTCTTCTGTAAGACCTATCTTTACTCTGTATTCCTGAATCTTGGATTAGATGTGCAAAACATTTGATATTCAGATTTTGTTCATTCACTTAACAAATGGGGCCCAGGCCATTTCCTGGGACAGAAGGGACAGCAGTGAACCATGTAGGTGGAATTCCTGCCCTCATGCAGTTTCTGTTCTAATGAGGGTGCCAAACAACATAGATGTAACTGGGTAAGTGGAATTTTGGCTCATTTTAGTGCTATCTTTGATGAGGACTCCCAGGACAGTGAGGAGTCCTGAGCTGGCATAGATAAACTGAGTGTGTTACTAGTGCTATGCCTGGCTTGCTGTGTACTAGATGACCTTGAAGGTAGCTACTTGTCCTGCCAGTGAGAGCTTTACTCTCCTATCAACAAGAAATTCTTTAAATGGCTGAGGAAGAAGGTGGTTGCTACCTGGCCTTTTGACTTCAGGAAAGCATTGTTTCTATACAGAAGCCCCTCAGTTCTTGAAACCTGTCTTTGTTCTGGTTGCTAGTATTTTAAATGTCTTGGAGGCATCAGGGCCAAGGGATAAGGTGAGAGTTGCTGATCATCTAGTAACCTTTCTGGGCTATACTGATGCTTGTTTATCTGAACCTCCCTTCTAAGGGAATAATTTGTTTCCTTGCGGCTTCCTGAGTCTTCTGAAGCCCTTTCACTGCAAGGAAGAAGGCAGGAGATGGGATGAAAAGTGCAGAGTGACACTTGGGACATTTGTGGATTTCTTTGAGGTATTAATGTGCGATCCCATTTCTGAAGGATGAGGCCAAACCAGCTATAGGATGATCTGGGAGTCAAGCCAGTGTTCCTGAGGGAATCCAAGTAGAAAATATGTTTGGGAATTTTGAGGACTGTAAAGACATCACAGAGGCTAGAGTGTAAGGCCTGAGGGGGACAGTCATGTGCAGTGAAGGTGGTTATCAGGGATAATTGCTCAGTAGAGGTGCAGACAGGCTGGCAGTGAGGTGGTGTGTTTTAGCCTGGCAGTGAGATGTGACTGGGCCATCTGTGTTTAGTGCCCTGGCAGATAGGGCATTTAGTGCCAGGCTTGCCACTGGGTTTGAACTTTAGTTTAAACATACACAGTCCTTCCTGCCAGTCTGGCTGCACCTCCACAGTGTGACTCCCACCCTGCTCCTCCCCTGTCTGGGACATGTCACACTGCTTCATTCCTCAGGGCATGCTGGGTTCTTGACTGAATCAGGTCTTCTGTGTGATCTAGTCCCTGTCCTCATAGAACCTGCGGTCCCACTCACATACCACTAAACCCTAGCCAATCACAGTAGTTTGTTGATATTTTCTTAAATCAATTGAGTAAAAGAAACACACTACAACAGCCAATGATAAAATGATGACTGCTACTTGTGTACCTACAAGAAGGAAACCCTGAGGTCATTAGAACGTAGATGTCATGTTGCAACAGGTAGATTCTGAGTAAGGCTGTTAAGGATTCCTAGAAGGACTATCTTGCTCCGAAGAAAGATGGTAGTCAGAGATGAGAATGTCCTTCAGTTGGCAGAGAGCTTGCTTAGTATGTGTGAGACTCTGAATGTGGCCTGCAGTACCACATAAAGCCAGATAGAGCACTGGAGAGGTGGAAGCAGGAGGATTAGAAGTTCGGGGTCATCGTCCACTATATAGGGATTTGGAGGCCAGCCTGGGTTGTAGACCTTGTCTCTAAATAAACCAATAAACAAGTGAGTAAGTGAATACATAGAAAAAAAAAAGAGAATGATGGTATTCATGTTGGTGATGATACTCTTTTCACTGTCTGTGCCTGTTTTCACCAAGGTAAATTTGTTTGGTGGTGTTTTGTTTTGGGCAGTAAAAATAATGTGAAATTGACAATTCCTATGAGTTTGTAAACATCTAAGATGCATTATTCTAAAGACCTTGTAAAAATTTTTACACTAAAGGTCTTTCTATGATAGCCAAAGGAAGTCAGTTCTGCAGATCCATGTTGTTTGTTACTGTTAGTTATATGGACTTGAGCATTGCAGTGATGGTGCCACATAGAGTTACAGTATTAGTTAGGACTGCAAACATAGGGAGTATTATTCTGTTACAGATTGAATGGCACCACCAGTTTCTTTTCTTGAGTAGTCTTTAGAATTTGAGACTGTTTCTAATTTCCCTTATATGTATAATTCTACAGCATTATAATTAGGATCTTGTAAATGGCACAAACAACATTGCTATCTTAGAAAAATGGACAAGGGATTGTTGAAAGTGGATAATCTCCCTTAGCTGTGAGGTTTTTGTCCGAGCTGATCAGGCCCCTGGGAAGAAGGAACCCCAGTGGGAATGATAACTGAACCACCTACCTCTGGCATGTAGTCCCTGACCTTAGCAAAACCATGTGGCACAACAGGACATGTGAGCCCAATGTGTGTGGCTGCAGGGATGTATTGGGAGGACATGCTAGGTCACTTGAACTGATTTCCCTTTTTGTGCCTAGAGCACTGTGGTGGTGGTGGAGGAGAGGTTTGTCTGTGTGAGACCCCTACCAGTTACTTTCCAAAAGTCCAAGACTGTTCCCTCTTTGAAGCCCCCGTCAAAGCTGCCTCTTCCATGAACCTGCTTGTCTTTCTCCCCAAAGAAAACTCTACAGACCCACCCACTTCCTCCAACCTTTTAGCTTGTCTGTGAGTGTTGTCCCCAATTAGTTCTGACCTTCCGTGGGCCTCACAGTTTGCCGCACATTTGTGTGGTGAGTGGTGCTCTCTGTGCAGTTCTGGCCTTTAGGTGAGTAAACAAGTGAGAATATGATTTTGGTTTTTCTTATAAGGGAGTAAGGCTAGATTTATTTTCTTTCATTTCTGAAATGTTTGTGAATTTGTTGTTGTTGCTTTTTGTTTTATTTATTTATTTTTAAGATAGGGGTTCTCTATAACAGCCCTGGCTGTCCTGGAACTCACTTTGTAGACTAGGCTGGCCTCGAGCTTACAGAGATTCACTTTCTGCCTCCTGAGTGCTCAGATTAAAGACTTGAGTCACCACACCTGGCTATATTTGTGAATTCTAATAGTGATATAAATGCAAACTTCTCTTTTCAGATAATGTGGATGCAAGCGATCTTAAGCAATTTTTTGAGACCAACTATTCTCAGATATATTTCATCTTCTATGAAAATTTTATAACACTGGAAAATAGCTTGAAGTTAAAAGGTAAGCATTTCTACAACTTTTTTTTTTGAGTACACAGGAAATTTCAGAAGTTATGTTGTCATGAGCCACAAGTTCTGCATTTTTAAGCTTTCTTTCTTTGAGACATTATTCTGGTGGACTGGTTGGCATCTCTGTGTCCATTGAGTGTTTCCTTACACAGGTGTTAATTGAACAGCGGATGACTAAAGGTAAAGTAGAAGGAAACCATGGATTACAAAGGGATAAATTATTTAAGGAGCAAGGGAGAAAAATAATGCATAGTAATTTTAAAAAGTATCCATATTTAAGCTGCATTTGGTGGCACAAGCTATAATTTCAGAACTATGGAGGCAGAGTAAGAAAATCATGAATTCAAGACCAGCCTGGCCTACATAGTGAGATCCAAATATAGTAAAACAGTACCACCAGCAAAATCACATTCCACTAAAGGGAATGTGAAATGAAAGCCAAAGTGTCTCTTTTGCTTGTACCTGCTTTCCGTAGAGACTTTTTGTATTATCAATGTTTTGTTTGTGTATATTTTCATATTTATGCTCTATGTAAACTATTCTTTGGAAAGCAGATTAGCTATGGGAATTTGGGTGAGGGAACTGAGTAGCTGGGAAGCCAGACTATCCTCACCCTCTTGCTGTTTCTCCTGAGTATTACTTGGTCTATCTGTGTTGGTTTCCTCCTGTCAGCAAGAAGCAGGTTAACAGATACACTAGGATTTCAGCACAGAGCTTGGCACATAGCACCTGGTCAGTAAGGGCCCCCTTTCCGTTTCATGTCATCTGTTTGGGAAATTAGGAAAAACAAACGGAAGTTTTCCCCAGTATCTAACACCAACTCAGCATAACATTCTGCTGCTAGAGTCTTCAGCAAACATCTGCTGGTGCCTATTAACTACACTCAGTCTTACTAGGCTGCTGGGAGATAGTTTCAGATCCTGCAGGCTAAGGACTGAGTGCCACAAAGCTACCACCCCCTTTAATGTCAGTTGCAGGTTCTAGATTGCTGTCTGTGCAGCTACAGACTGACTGTAATCAGGAGTCTCTTCTCAGGGTTGGTTAGTTTGCTAGAGGAGCTAGTAGAATGTAGGGAAATAACCTTATTTATTTATATTTGTTACAAAGTTTTTGTTCATTCACTACATTACATATGAATAATACAGATTTTAAAGTGTGCTTACCAACAGCCAGATAAAGAGCTGTGTGTGAGGTCTGGAAGATCCAGAGCACAGGAACTTCCTTACCATGGAGTTGGAGAACACTACTCTGCATGTACACAATACATTCTTCTTCACAGTGTGGGAGCTCCCTTAGCTAGAATCTTTTGGATTTAATGGAGGCTTCATTATGTGGGCATGATTGATCCCTCTATTATTCCTAGGTGATGAACTCAGCCTGACAGTTGTAGGTGGGTGGATGGAGCGGAAGTAGGGTTTGAAGTGGACAAAAGCATTTAGAGGACAGAGCCTGAGCAAAGGTAGTAAGTGCCCTTAGAGCATGTGTTTCTTTTTCTTGCAACACAAGTTATGTGAATGAGATATGTAGGAAATCCAGTTATGTTTGTCAGGAGCCTTGACTTCCAGACTGAAGAGTCTGGACTTTGTTTTTAGTTAGAGCCTTTAAAACCATTAGCCTCTGGGACAAGTGTCCTGTTAAAGCGGTGAGTGCATAGGGCACAGAGGTGAGTTGGGAGGTTGGTGCTGTCACCCATGTGAGAGCTGCTACTCTGCTGGAGGAGCAAGGTGGTGGGAGGAGGAAGAGTTCCTTCCTGTGAGACAGAATACAAAGGAGAGGGAGAAGTCAAAGAACCTTTCAGGGCCCCACTTTGACTTATGAGGTACAGAAACCTTCAGGGAGAACAGTATTTGGGAGGCAAGAGGACCAGTCTGTATTTGAAGCACGTGTGGGACACCAGGATAAGTGTTGGCTGAGCGGCAGAAATATAGGTTATCTGAGCTTGGGAGAAGAGGACAGAAGCTTGCTGTTGCCAGCGGAGAAAGTATATCAAAGAAAAGGGAGCCAACAAATACAGAAGAGAGAGATACATTAGTGGAAGAGTGTAAAAGGAGATTTTCTCCATCTATCTTGTCCCACTGGACCGGTTTTCTTTCTGCCCACCAGGTCCTGCAGCCACTTAATAAATAACCAGTCTAAGACTTAATATTAGTTACAATTGTTTAGTCTATGGCTCAGGCTTTTTAATGACTAGTTCTCTCTTAATTACTAACCTATTTCTATTAATCTGTGTATCTCCACATGGTCTTGGATTATTGGTGATACCAGGTCTCTTGACTCCCAGCTGCTACATGGCGTCTGTCCTTTCTCTTCCTTCTCTTTGTTTGGAATTCCCGCCTAGCTAAATTCTGCCTAACCTTTGGCCATAACAGCTTTATTTGTCAACCAAAAAGAGAAACATGTAGCCACAGCATACAGAAGGATATCCACCATCAGAAGGATGTTAGAAAATCATGTTGTCATAGAAGTCCAGATTTGAAGGCATGCAAGATCACAAACACTGATGATGCAGAAAAATGAGGTGCAGTAGTATTAGGAAATGAGAGCTCACATCTGACCTGAGAACAGCTCTTGGTGAGGAGCTGTCAGAAGCTTGACAGGTGGTCATGGAGCAGAGGTGTGTAGAGCTGGGGAAAGCACCCATGGAACTGTGATGTGAACTCAGACAGTGTGTCCTAAACTGGATTTGGGAGAGTTGCTAAGGGCTGCCTGCACCTACCGTAGGCAGTCCAAGGAGAGGTAGCAGATAGTGTGGGGGTTGGAGAAGAGAGTCAAGTAAACAGTAGAGAGACAGAGGTAAGTGCAGAGTGGCCTTTTTGTCTGAGGAGAAAAGCTAGAGGATCAATGTCGACAGATTTTGTGGGGGGACAGGAAACAAAAACTGAAGGGCTTACTGAGGTACACTAATTGCTGTGGTCAAACAGAAGTGTGTCCTGTGCAAGGAGGGGAAGGCATATGGGTCAGTGTTCAGTGGGCTCTGGTATGTGGAAGATAACTCAGTCTTACCAAGAGCTTGAGGCTGTGCCTGGGATGCCAGCGTGTGCTTTTCTTAAGGTGTTTCTTAGTCTCCATCTCAGATTAATAAGTTGGTATAAATCTTGAACTTAAAATTTGTTTTGGACCAAAGGGTAGATATTTCAAAAATGAAATGATCTATATTTACTTTGCTAGTTTTGCTCTACTCTACTTTTTTTTTTTATAGGTATTTGGAGGAGAAAAGGGTCATGATTCTTGTATTCAAAATAGAGTGTGATAGCTCAAGCTTAACCCCAGCACTCAGGCAGAAGCAGGAGGACCTGTTGAGTTCAAGGCCAGCCAGATCTATATATTGAGTTTGAAATTTGCCAAGGCTACATAGTGATACCTTGTTTCAACACACACACACACACACACACACACACACACACACACACACACACACACATACAGAGAGAGAGACACACACATACACACACACTAGCAGTGAAAAAATTAAAATATCAGATATTTTAAAAAGCCAACTGTTTAAAATTATTTTAAGTCATAACCCATTTTCTTTTCCTTCTTTCCTCCTCTTTTTTCACCTTTATTATATCCACTCTTTTAGAAAACTTGTGGTAATTTCAAGTCTGTATCAGTTTATGCTCTGTAAAAAACACTCCCAAACTAAATGCCTTGAAACAATCACCATTCTACATATGGTTCTTTAGTACTGTTAGAAAGTTCTTCTGGTTTAACTAGTGTATACTCTTTGGATGGCTCACTCACATGTCTTACAATTGACCAGAATGCCTTGCTGTGGAGATATATCATCCAGCCAACAGGCCAGATTGGACTCCTTTACAGGATGGCCCCAGAGCCTCAGGATCAGCCATAATGCCTCATATTTGCTAGAGTAATATTGGTCAAAGGCTATCATGAGGCAGTTCATATTCAAGAGATAGAAAAGGAGAAGACTGTGTCCCCCTTTGGAAGCTCTGACAAAAATTCAATGATGACTAGTAGGATCAGGGTGAGATTTTTGGAAGCTCATGCTTTTAGTGCAGACTGTATTGGAGTGCTAAAAGGAAAGTGTGCCTCCCAAAGGGAAGAAAAAAATGTTTATGAAGAATAATGAAATCATTTCATGGTAACTTCAGGTTTCCAGTTATTCAGGACAAAACCTTGGAGATGCTGGCTCTCCAGAATGTATCATTGGCCTGTCTCCTCACCTACATTAATAACCCCAAAGCTTCCAGTATCCTCATCTAGACAGGTACTAGTCTTAGAAAGTCTATTACGTGCTTTTCAAAAGAGTAGCTAAAGCCATGACTTACATGATCACCGAGGCTTTAGTCCTCCATGGCTTTTCATTCTCAAATCACAATAGTGATTTTATCCTGTCCCCATCTGCCTTCTTTGCCACACCTACCCTCTAAGCTTATCTTCTCAAATCTTCCCATCTTTGCTCTAGCCTTCAGGCCCTTTCCTCTCAACATGCTCAGCCACAAGAACTTTGGTCCACTCTCCCTGCCTGGGGTGTGACTTCCTCATATTTCTATAAAGCTTGCTTGTTTGCCCATTGTACATCTTTGCCTGGTTGTCACTTTTCCAGCAAAGTATTTTCTAACTTCCCAACTCAGAATTGCATATTGATTTTAGTATTCTTCATTTGCTTTTACTTATGCATTTTCTAGCTTACTTATAGTCTGCCTTCTCCTGTCAAAATATAATCTTCCCCAGAGCAGGGTATGTTGCTTGTTTGGTTCATCTTTTTGTCCTCAGGGTCCAGCAGAATTCTTGAGAATATTTGTAAGTGAATGAATGATAGCCACTTCTTAGAGCTATGATGATTCAGTTAGGTCAGGAGCCTGTAACTAATAGCTTACTTGACTTTTGTTATTGTCCTTCTTGAGGACAGGTTTTTGCTATGAAGCCTAGGCTGGTGACTCTTAGCTTGCCATACTATCACTATTACAGGTATGGGCCACCATGCGCCACTGGCGTCATTGGATACTGTCATCTCCATCATTTATGTACAGCCTGTGGCAACAGAGTCTGATAGTTCCAAGAGAGATTTGCAAAGCCTAAAATATTTACTATCTGTAAATTCTTAAGTTAGATGACTTAAGCTGCATGTGTAGCACAATGTCTGGGACATACTATAGACAGTAAATGATAATTCCTGCTGGAGGCATGTGGTACAGTTTTTATATTATATTAATTAATATTATCAAAAGGGCATTGTGGGGCTAGAAATGCAGCACAATTGGTAGAGAGCCTGCCCATCATGCAGGAAACCCTGGTTTGGTTCCAACAACACATAAAACTGAGTATGGTGGCATACCTTTCGTAGTCCTAGTACATGGGAAGTGGAGGCAGGTGAATCAAAACTTCAAGGTCATCCTCAGCTACATATCAAGTTAGAGGCCAGCCTGAGATACAATGAGATCCTGTCTCAAAAAAAAAAAAAAAAAAAAAGCGAAGTGTGGAACTGTACAACGAAGGAGGCAGACTCTTCTCTATAGATGTTCATGCTCTGTTTTTGTTAATACTATCAGTGTTTGTCCTGTATATTTTTATCATAACTTGAGCTGGTGAGTACCTAGTTAAGAAACAAATTAAGAAAATATGGACGTTTATGTCTGAAGAGCTAGTATAAGAGAGTAAAAGGCGGTTGTGGTTGAACTGGACCTGATGTGACAACTTGACCCTCTTCCTAGCAGTGCTCCCCCCACCCAATCTCAGTAGTTTCTAATTTAAGATGCTTTTCAGCATCATGTGTGATATTTTAAAGCTTAAGTGCTAACATGCTGACTAATGCCTTTTTCTTAATTTCCAGGGAATAATAAGTCACAAAGGGAGGAGCTGGACTCCATCCTCTTTCTTTTTGAAGTAAGTCTGGCTATTATTATTATTATTTTAAGCTTTTAAAGTCTTTGTTTAAAAAAAATGATACTTTATTTGGTCCTTAATTTTACCCGAAGACAAATAGAAATGGCTGTATACTGCCTTTTACCCACTTTTACAACAGATACTGCTAAAAATGTTCATGTGATTTTTGTACTAGTTAGAAGAGTAAACACATTTTAAATAGTAATAGCTTTTCCTGTCCTCCTTTCCATATCAACTTTTATGTGGGTTTTACATAATGTCCTCTGTCCCCAAACTGCAGGTGACCTGTCTTACTGACATGTGAATCTCACATACAGAATCTCAGTTTTTCCACATATATACGTAATATTTTTAGAATTATTTATTTTTATGTGTATGAATGGGGGTGTGTTGCCTGCATGTGTGTCTGAAGGTGAGAAGAGGTGTCAGATCGCTTAGAACTGGATTTACAGACGGTTGTTAGCTGCCCCGTGTGTGCTGGGATTGTTCCCCAGATTCTCTGGAAGAGTGGCCAGTACAGCTCTTAAGCACTGAGACTCTTCAGCCCTTTGGTAAATTATTTTTGATTCCTGATGGGCTATAATTTTTACATATCTGTGTATCTGTGTACATAAACAGTCTTTGAAGCTGGAATGATGTTTGGCTGTGGGCTTTTTAAAAAATTAAGGTAGATTTTATTTGTGTACATGCACATACCCCACAGTAAACATGTGCAGTTCAGATGACAATTTGATATAGTAAATTCTCTTCTCAGGGATTGAACTCAGGTTGCAGGCTTGATAGAAGGGCCTTTACGTGCTGAACCATTTTGCCAGTCTCTTGGCAGTGGTTTGCTTTTGAATACTTTTGAGATGGGGTTTCTCTATGTAGCCCTAGCTGTCCTAGAACTCCATGTAGATCAGGCTGTTGTTGAACTTGAAGAGATGTGCTGCCACATTCGGCTTTTGGTTATTTGTGTGTGTGTGTGTTTTAAATATAAAATTCTTCTTGCTCAAATGTGCTAGGCAGGTGCTAAATTATGGATACCAGAAGAACTAGATTCAGAGCTGAATCACAGATTCTTTTTTTCTTCCTCTTCTTATGAGACAGGGTCTCTTGACATGACCCTGGCTGTCCTGGAACTCTCTGTAGACCAGGCTGGCCTGGAACTCATAGAGATCCACCTGCCTCTGCTTCCTATGTGTTAAAATTAAAGGTGTGTGCCACTGTGCCTAGCTTAAAATATTTACTTATTTGATGTGTATGTGCACATTTCACAGTACATATGTGGAGGTCAGAGGACAACTTTTCAGAGTTGGTTCTATCCTTCCACCAAGTGGGTTCTGGGAGCAAACTCAAGCACCTTTATAGACTAAACCACATAGCGGAAACCCTGGATTATAAATTCTGAATGTTAATTATTCATAGTTTGAGGTGATATGTGCATATTTGGGATAAGAAGATAAACTGAAGCTTGGCAGTGATAGCACACGCCTTTAACCCCAGCACTCCTGGGGCAAAGTCAGGTACATCTCCGAGTTCGAGGCCAGCCTGGTCTACAGAGTGACTTCCAAGATAGCCATGTTAGATAAAGAAACCCTGTCTCAAAAGAAAAGAAAAAAAAAAAGAAAATCTTCGTGTATGCACATGTATACATATGTGTAAAGGCCAGAAATCAACTTTGGGTGTGTTCTTCAGGAATCATTTTGGGTTTTTTTGTTTGTTTTTGAGCCAGGGTCACTTAGTGGGACCTACAGTTCCCTTATCAGCCTATGCTGGCTGGCCAGAAAGCTCTAGGAATCCTCCTGTTTCTGCCTTCTGAGGACTGGGATTACAAGCAGGCATCAACATGCTATGTTTGCTTGTGTGGAAAGGACTTTATTAATTAAGCTATCTCCCCAGCCCAAAGGAGAAAAACCTTTGACTGTAAGGAGAGTCCACATGTGAAGATCTGCTTGGTGGGGAGGTGGGAAAGGGAAACTCTTTGTGGACAAACTGTGAGGGGGCTGGTTGAATGGAGTAAAGTATGTTGTGGCACATATCCACAGGGCAACAGGCCTTGATCCATGACATTATTTTGTCGTCGTCATTGTATTTCCTATAGTTACCCTCCAGTGAATGAAACCTTAAATGCAAGCAAAGTATTGGTCCCTGAAAAATCTAGAATTGTAATACACAAGTCATCATCTGATTAATGCAGAGAAAAAAGAAACTTGAAAATTTACAAATCCATCTTTCTTTTTTCAAATAATCTGACCAAACTAGAAATGAAAACAAGCTTATGTACAGAACAGCTACTAAAAATTATAGAATATATTAGTTTTATTGGTGAACTGTGATTGTATCTGGTAATTCTATTATCTAGAGTGTAGTAATTTAAATCTGTTGGTTATCTTTTCCAACACAGTGGCTATTTTTCTTGCATCTGTTGTGAGATCAATATGAATCACACAGATTTGTTTTTGTTAAGCCTTTTTTAAAAATATCTAGATGAATTTGTTTCAGCTTTTGACAGGAATTTGGGAGTGGTTTAAATTAGAATTATTTTTTGTTTCTTGAGGATTACTAATGGGATCTCAGGATGAATACCCAAAATTTCTGAGGTTAAGGCTCAGGGGCTGGAAGGACCAGACATCTGTCCATTATAGTGTTGGCATGGGAACTAGCTCTTTGGCGCCTGCATTCTTCTTTGCTTGTAGAACACAGATCTTTCTTCTACCCCATTTTCTTTTCCTTCCTTTTTTTTTTTTGGTCTCTATTAATTAGTTTCTCTGAATCCTGAAAACCATGCAATGCTTTAATAGTTATATTTGTTGTTGTTCCTCTTGGAACTAATTGTTCCAAAGGTAGGAAGACTTCGAGATCCGAGTCCTTACCCTACAACAAAGGAAGTTTTGATGCCTTCCTTCTGTTCAGAAGCTCTGCACTAGGGAGGAAGCCAATAGTGATACAATTCTATTTACAGAGAATTAGTTGCCTATATAGAAGAACAAATATATATTATTCAAAGCTTCATAAAACTTTCATGTTGCATAGTAAATATGGGTGAATGATGAGCTTGTATTTCTTTTGTTTATGCTGTATGGGCTATTCTAGCTTTGTATGGTAGCTTGTAATTTGTATGTTTCACTCTGGGCACTAAGCAGCTTCATTGCTGCTTTCTCCATTAGAAGTGGTTTATGATGTTTCTGAGGTGAATACTCATCACCGTGTAAATAATTGAGAAAGGCTTCCTTTAAAGAAGAGGTAGAGTTATTAATATGTTAAATTACAGAAGCGACCCTGTGCAGGGGTATTCTATAAATAAGAAATGGATTGGAAGAAAGAAGAGAGCTAAGAGAGTTATGGAGGCATGGAGCAGGACAATGTAAGAGAACTAGCTATACCTTGCCTTGGTAAGGGGCCAAGTGCGGGGGCAGCTTTGGAAGTGGAAACAATAGTTTTACAGTGTTGTAGACTGCTAGACAGTACAGTGTTCTGGTGAAGTAAATGGTGGGCAAAAAGGTTGGAAGCTCAGGTCATAAGTTCTAGGCTGTAGATGGTTGTACAGAGATGAAATCTGTTTGCTTTTTTTAACCTCCAGTGGCAGCACATGTACCTCTGGAAGATGACTTGGCTACCTCTACTTGTATTATCACTTAGGATTTCTGTTCCTGTTAGTTCATTGAAATGATTATCATCTTTTTTAAAAATTTGTTTTATTGTTATTGTGGTTATGACTAAATTTTTATTCTCTGAAAAGCATTTGTCTATCATTGCTGGTTGTTTCTAATGGAGATGTAGGATTGCATCTTTTATTTTTGTTTTTTTGTTTTTGTAGGATTGCATCTTACATTGACCAGAATCTGTTGTACAAAGATCATTTTGTTTAATCCTTTCCTTCTGAAATAGATTATGTCATTAAAGGTTGGTTTTCTGTGTTGCTGTTGGTGGTCACATGTAGGGCTTTGACTCCTGAGTTATATTCCCCAGTTTTCAAAGACTTTATTTTTAATTTTGTGTGCGTGTGGCAGGGGGTTACATGTTACTGTAGTACCTGCAGAGGCCAGGAGAGTCCATCAGGTCTGGAATTTTTACCACGGTCTTCTGTAAGAGTCTTCTGTAAGAGCAGTTTGTATTCTTAACTGCTGAGCCATCTTTCCACCTTCATTTCTCAGTGTTTATAGGAGAAAGATTGGGAGCTCTGTGGAGTTAGGTTGCATATATACTAAGTAGAAGCCCTGGGAATTACCTGTGTTCATAACTCATTGCCATACTGTGAGTTCCATGACTATCCCACACCTCTTTTGAAACATCCTGCCATTGGAGAGTCTGGATGCTATCCTGTCCTCAAGCTGCATTCTGCAGGATATTTCTGTCAACTCATGCCCATTCTTATACATTCATTCATCAGACAAATAATGTGCCAGGCACATGTCTAAAACTGTTAATATCAGTAAGCAAGACAGATGGGGCCTTCAGCCCTTTTGAAGCCTGTGCTAACATTCATAGAAAGCTGAAGAATTAACTGGGAAGAATGAACTTATATCAGAACCCCAGTAATGACCTTCTGAGTTAAGAGATCTCTGCCTGCCATTTTCAGAGGTATCATTTCGTGGTGGCCCTTGAGGAAGTTACCTACAGAGGGGAAAGAAAGGATGCGTAACATGATGAGTAACCTGATGACTGGGCCTTAAGTTCATACTGTCTTCTCTTGAGAACTATCTAGATGCAACCCCCGAGCGTTTGGTTATTGTTAGTGATACCTAGGATTTGTTTTAATCAGGTATGATCAGGCACCTTGATATGAAAATGACTATAATGAAGAAGAGGTTTTAATTATATTTACTCTTCCCTTAAAGCGGGAGGTGTGTCATACAGGGTCATAGAGGATTACACAGACATGAAATCAGTAGATGAAGAGGGCTGAGGGCAGGAACTACTATTATGTTTGTAAGAATGGTCAAGGCAAGGTGAGCATACTAAACAAAATGTAGGGTTATGAGTTTGAGTCATTTGAGCTGACTCTAGGCTGGTTGTCC